ATCCATCGTAAATGACTGTATTATGGTTGCTGATCGCGTAGTGGTTCCGTATAACTTACGCTCACTCGTCCTGAAACAACTGCATACAGCCCATCCAGGTACTGGAAGAATGAAAGCTATTGCTCGAAGTTATGTATATTCCCCTAATATCGATGAACACATCGAGGATTTCGTGCGTGCGTGCAGAAAATGTGCTGAGGTTTCTAAGTGTCTACGAAAAGCTGAACTACATTCCTGGCCATCTCCAGAAGAACCTTGGTCGCGTATACATGTTGATTTTGCTGGCCCATTCCAGGGTACGTATTTCCTCGTTTGTGTTGATGCTTATTCAAAATGGCCGGAGATTTTTCCTATAAATCAAATCACTTCGCAACAGACTATCATGAAGCTACGGCAGTTATTCTCCCGTTTTGGAGTTCCAGATGTTCTCGTGACAGATAACGGCACTCAGTTTATTTCTTCCATCTTCTCAGATTTCTGCAAGAGGTTTGGAGTCAAACAAGTCCGTTCACCTCCGTACCATCCACAATCGAATGGTCAGGCCGAAAGGTTTGTAGATACCTTCAAAAGAGCGCTACTGAATGCAAAAGGGGAGGGGAAGATAGAAGAGATTCTTGATGACTTTCTCTTGGTCTATAGAACAACTGCAAACCCATCAACACCAAATCAAATGTCCCCAGCAGAAATTATGTTTGGTAGAAAAGTAAGAACTGCCCTCGATGCCATAAATCACAGCAAATAGACATCGGAAAAAGAAACAGAAAGATGGAAAACCAATTTGATCGCCATCATGGGGCAAAACGCAGAATTTTCCAAAGAAATCAAAAAGTATACGTCCGCGGTTTCCGATATTCACCTCCACAATGGACCAGTGGACGCATACTTAAGAGACAAGGGAACGTAATGTATGTGGTGGAAGTTGAAGGACAGAAGTGGACACGCCATGTCAACCACATACTGGAAAATGCTGGCACTTCACAGAAAACCGAGAAATTAGACTCAATGTGGAGAATCATTCTGGACAGTTTTGACATGAAATGCTCAGCGACTCAGAAGACCACGCAACCTGAACAAGGTCCTATTAGGAAAGCATCACGGAAACGCAGAAGACCAGATATTCTACAGGTAGACCCAAAGAGGAGAACATACGTTTCCGAAGGGAGGTATCAATGATGATATCTCAGCACTTACCTGTATATAGTAACTAACCATATTTTTTCTTCTTTTTTTTTAAGGGGGAAGGTGTTACGAACGGGGAATTAAGAAGCCCAGACAATTACGAAAGCTATTTTCTCGGGACGTTATTGCATTTCATTGAAAACCTGTAAAACACTTATATTTATTTTTGTCCCTATCTTATTCTACATAACACGAGCTTTCGTTCTATGTATCATTCACTAGCATACCTTTTTTTGTTCCAAAAATATTGTAATTTAAACATTATATTTTGCACTATATTTTCTACCCTAATTCCCTGTTTCGGGCATAACTGTATTTTTCCAAATTATTGTACGTCGTGGTCAAGATATTCACTTATTTATTCATGTACATTTTTGTAGTAATCTGAATTCAGAGAATCCAGAGTTTAGTGTTCCAACTGTCTTGTCTTCTTTCACTGGCGTGCTTGCCAACCAATCAGGATTTAGAATAGTTCTCTCTACCCCGATCGAACTCACGCGTATTACACTCAAGATTAAGCCACTCAGCCTAGCGCGTCAAGGTCACAGTTTAGTCTAAACAGATCAAGGTGAAGTCATAACAAGTATCACGGGGTAAAAGCGATTTCAAGGTCATAACAATTTCTAAACACAAAATAATTACTGCCTATAAGTTAAGTTATTAACACGCATCGTTTTATTATTATTATTGTAATCCCATTTTTTAAAGTTCAAATAATCTTCAACCAAATTTTAAGCGTGTTAATCATGAAAGCAGATATTTTAAGATTATTACATGTATTTCCCGACCAGATACTGCCGTATTTTTTATTTATCTTTCAGCTTATCAATACCCGGAGGATCCTTATTACCCTTGGTATCCTCCGGCGCGCGTTAATCTCATCCAATTTGGTATCGAACCAACATCACGTTGATTCTGGTGGGAGAGTAGTGTAGTGGCATTGGACAATAGCCACACAATCCACAAAGCTGTGAACACGAGACTACTCAGAAAATAGATATTCAATATTTAACTCGGGGAAATGCTTAACAATGGAGAAGGCGCGAACAATGAGTTGAATGGACTGGAGTTGATCGAGTGGCATGGCTTGGCCATGCAGGCGTGGTCTCTGCTGAATGTTACCTTATATCTTCTATTCATATTAAATATATTGTTCTTTCTCTAGTCTAACCTTGTTCTACATCATGTATTGGTAATTGATACGATACAGTGAGTTGGTGTAGTCGATGGTGTGACTTTCACGTAAGATCTTATAGATTAGGCAGTTATATCATGACAAATCTACAAATTTAGGATTAGGTCTATTATAAGAGCGGTACTAATATCATAGTAGACCATAATTCTACAACCTTTCGAAATAGTAGACAAAGATAAATGATCACTAGTAACATCCGAATTATTGAAACTTAAATTACAAGACTTAGTACTACTTGAAGCAAAATGGGCAATAGCTTTGCTTACTGACTGAATGTGTCCTATCTTACCACATTTAAAACATTTAGCATTACGAAATGCACATGAATTACGAGAATGAAAATTTCCACATGATAAACATTTATCAAACTTCATCTCACCTTTGTGATTTGCTTTGTAATTCCTTGTTGAAACACCTTTCATATTTACACGAGAATAGGAATCATTGTTAAACGAACGCAAGTTTGATTGACCCTGAGATTGTAGTTCATCATGACGACTAAGCAAAGTATTAGAAATCTCCATCGACTGGATATCAAGTTCATTCACTGCCTCGTAGTTAATACACGCAGTTCTAGCATCTTGAAAGGAACAGTTTGACATTCTTAACAGTTCTCTTTCCAAACTCGGTATGTTAATTCCTGCAATTAATCAATCTCTCAGTTGCACATGAAGTTGATCACCAAAATTACATTTGGCAGCTTGTTTCTGCAATTCAAGGATGAATTCTCTAACCTTTTGATCACTTTGACGAACCATTTAATGAAATTTCGCCCTTTCACGGCATTCAAAACTGGTGCTTTTCACATGATTTATTAATAGCTCCTTAAGAGTTGCATAAGGAGGTGAGATAGGTTTTCCTGGATATGCCAGTTTTTAATAAGCTGTACGTTTCTCTCCCAATGAATGTCAGGAAATGTGCCACAATTTTATCACCTTTAACATCTTTCTTAGTCATGCTCCAGATTTCAAACCTTTCCAAATAATCCTCGAAAGCTTCGGAAGCTAAATTAATATCTAACTGTTCCATCGCGACGCCAATATGATGATTAGGAGTATTTGAATTATAGTACGAAATAAGAATCCAAGAAATAACTCGACTGCATCAAGAAGTACTAGATAAGCACTAACGAATGTACTGCATTTGTAATTCGGAATCAACCATTCAACAAGTACAAAGGAATCGTTAGTTTGTAGCGTGGAGTCGAGTCGTGGTAGACTATGAACACCGCTACCAAGAAACGCGTACCAAATGACTCCATAAAATCCCCCGGAAGCCAAATACCAGAAGGCAGTTAATGGACCAAGTCGAGATATATTTGCTGGCGATCTCGTGGTATCGAAAGGATACCGAGATCGTGACAGGATACAAGCTTGGTTACAGAACGTAACCGAATTCGCGCGAAGTCACAATCAAAGTGTAAGAATAATGGATGCACAGTCAAACAAAAGCACATTAAAACAGTCACTGGTACAATTGGTTACAATAATAATTGTTTTCAATAAACCAATCGTGTTCTCGTGATAAATGTGAGTCACTACAATTTCATACAAACACCACAGTCTCATCACTGTGCATCTTCAGACAATCCGCGGCGAAAGAAATATCAGGAAGTGAATACTCAGATAACATCGCTCTCTCTTCAAACGTTCTATCGTCCTATCTGAACAAAACCTTATCAACAGACAACCACAAACTGGCCCATGGCACCATACTTAGCCATCTCCTCTGCTCACAATGTTTTGCTTCAACATTTTCTTTTATTAATTCTAACTGTGACCTATTTCATTCCTTAAACTTTAAATTATACAAATCTTCCTATTGAAGCAATATATCGTCCGTTGTATATCAGCTATTGGTCAATGCTGTAGCGGTAAATTAATCCCCAAAATAAATAGCTCTAAGTTCTCGACATTGGATGCTGACCATATGTTTTAGTGGACTCATCTAGCTGAAGGCGCTCGGTCAGACATCCGCCCCAGATCACATGTGGTAACGCCGTGCTCAACACCAACCGCAATCGCTAGCCAGATTAGATCAGAGAATTCCGATATATTGGTTATCGCCAAATACACTCTTCCGATCTCCTCGACTCTGTCTTTTGATTTCTCTGGGTGGGAACGAAATATATTAGGTGTTACTAGTAAAAGCGTTGTCAAACACTGAATATTTGTGACATCATCAATGCAAACACATTGACCTAGAACAATCACGCTCATATGTAACGTTTTCCCTTAAATTAATTCCTTGGAGTCCTTTAAAAGAAAACCTGACATATTCTTGAGGACTAAAGATAGTACCTCACCAACCTTGTCCTTTTTCTTTTTTATCGATAATATTCCTAGTTTCGTGCCCGGAGATATCGGTGATCCACTGCTACTTAATACGGAAGCCTGTTGGGCTAAATCTCCTTCTATTCGATCCCAAACCATTTTAACCATTTGAGTTCGTACAAAAGAAAGGTTAAGCCCTAAGTCATTATCACATCCATCATGGTTAACACAGCCAAGTGGCAAGGATATTCACATCGGACGATGATCAATACCACGAGCTCCACATCGATATCTAGAAGCTGGCGAAATAAGTAGTTTCGTTTTTACATGCTCATCAGAGAGGTATTAAATATTGAGCAGTTGCCACGGTGAAAGCCTCCGCGGTTTTCAACTAATTCTACTACGGTTGATATTTTTGCTGAACTACTCAAACTGTGAACGTATGTCTTTTAGAAAAATTAATTTAACAACAGAAATTCTTTTAAATAAATCCAAATGCTTTTTGCTGTAAGTTTATGGCTATTTGATATCGGATCGGATAACTATTAACGGTGACCGATTTCCCTATTTTGCAGAAAAGTTCGTCCGTTTTGTGAAAATTTTGCGCAAGCCTCAGTAGGAAAATTCGGGAAAACGGCACAGAATCTTCAAAATTTATCTGAGAGTTTCTAAAGTTTTCCTTAGATGGGGAGATACTAAATGGTTCAAATGGTTGTGGACGGAATAGAAGAAGCTTTCGCTTAACAGGCTTCCGTGTCTAGTAGCAGGGGATCACGAAATCCTCCAGGCAGGAACCTAGGTATGTTAACAATAAAAGAGGAAAAGAAATTGGTAAATCATAGTGTGATGCTGTCCTTGGTTCTTAAGAATAGGTCAAGTTGCCTCTTGAAGGACTCCTGAGAAGTCGCTTGAACTAGCTCGGCCGGCAGCGAATTCCAGCTTTTGACAACAACTAGACAGCACAGAATGTTATTTGTTAACAAATAATATTTTTATTACAATTGTAATAAAAACCGTACTTGAAAGACACTTAGTAAGCTTCGAATAAATTATTAGTTTTTTATATTTGCTGTTGGCACCTTTCGAAATCGTTTTTGACTTCGTATTTCATTTTCTAGTTATAACTACAAACTACATTTTCAGTTATAACCGAATATATAGTTTGTATACATGTGTAACATAGGTTATATGTTTATTGATTATAACCCATAAACCCCGTAAATACTTGAACACTTTATAGGTATCCTGTTTATGTCTTCAAATTGCTTTTCGTTTCAGAATTTTTCTCGAAGTTCTTGAAAATGTCCTCAATTCCACGTGTATCAAGTTAGTTGACATGAAAAAGAAAGGGATAATACTACGTTTCTTTTTGTCTGCTCACAATGACAGATGATTCAACGTCTTCACCCGAAGATGACATTTTCGTAGATAAAGGAGAACTCTTGCGAGAAGAGTAATGCTTTACTCACTCTAATGCCGTAAATCTAGATACGCTAACTTAAGCAATGAGATTGAAGCAATTTCCGAAGAAATATTAGACATGTAAGTTCGGGCGTTTAGAAAATTTTTGGCTGTTAGACAAAGTGAATTAATACTTACTGAGCATTCTATCCAAGAACAAGAAGTTAAGAATGTAGTGTTTATTTCAGAAATTTTTATTATAGTTTTATCAAAAATAGAATGAATATAACTCGTATTCGGAGAAAAAGCAGTCGAAACGTTTGAAAAATACAATAACGTTAGAAGATTATTATTTGTTTACTGTGAATGAATTAGAGAGAGACAGAGATGAAATGTTGACTATTTATGCTAAAAAAAAGTCTGGTGCGTCTGATGCTTTCGTTATACTGTACCGTAGAATTGCAGGATGTTTTACTACAGGAGAAAAAATTCCTGAAACATGTCAAAGAAGAATTAGTATCAACAGCAGATATTCAAGTAAGCTTTCAGATCTTACCGTTGGTACCAGTGGTTTTGTATGCTAATCAAATTATTTGTAGATTCATAATAGCTGAAATATAGCTATAATTATTGACAACACAAAACGTTGCACGTATATAGGTTGGCTATATTTATGACAAATTACACTAACTCAGAAAAGACGGAATTAGTTGGATGGGAATCAAAACGTTTGTAGTAATATGAACATCACCCATAGAAAATATCCAGTTATACATGAGGTTGATTTTGGACGATCAAGGTTAGGTAATGAATGATGTTGAAGTTCAAGACAATACTGGATCTATTTTTATCGTTACGTTTAGTTTTAACAGCGCCATTTATGGGCTACAACTAAGTAATTTCATCATTGTGTGTCCACCTACAGACCTGACTTAGATCGACATTCAGGAAGTTTATTGGCTGATGCGGTGTATTGGGCCTGCAGACGCCTTATTCCGGACAGTTCTAGTGGAGTTGTATTCTCTGAGCCGGATGGTTTTGTCGTGGAGCTTTCATTGTTCTTTTGAACAACATCATTAGCATAAACGTCAGGTTGACGTGATATGTTCGAATTCCTCCATATATGACTCATAGCTTGTTCTGTCGACCCCGATCTTGATGAGCTATTGTTGACCTCTAACCTATCATTGTCCACCTCATTATATTGACTGTATCTCCCTTTGACTTGATTCTTCCTCCTATGTTTGTCCATGATTTTTATTATTGGTTGATAGATTGGATCAATTTCGAGGTGACTGACCTGAGTGCCAAGCTTCTAATAATCCCATAATGTTTTTAGAATTCCTATCCAATTATGATTATTATTTCAACACATAAATATTGGTACAAGAGGGCACCAAATATATATGCGCCACACCATATTTGTGTGTGTGTGTGGGCTGTGATACCACCCGGGTGCCCAGACCAAAGCAGGTGGTTTTCTTAGGGGGCCACACCCCGAGCCTTTGACCTGAAGGTCTAACCCACAAGGCAGTGGAGCATCGTAAGGAGATGCAGTCCCATGGTAGCTGGTGACCAACGATTGGTCCATATGCCATTTGTTCCCGCAGGATGCTGGAGCCCATATACACCATTGGTTTGGGATCCGGTTAAGGCGCCGGACATTCGCCTTTCGTCCTCTCATTTTTGTAAACAACACTCCGGCCACGAGAAGGCAGTGAGTAGGACTTCCCTGGCAGAGGATGTATACGCGTGGCCGTGTGAGAGTATTTCGAGAGGGAGGGCGGGCCCACCCCACTATCGGCCATACAAGGGCATTTGGTGGCCCTTCTACCCAATATCCCAACATTTTTGCAGTTGAACGTGTCTCCACAGTTGTCCACATGCATTGATATAAACATGGGTACGTCATGACATTTGACTGCCAATTGATGTTCGTGCGGGCGAAGGTGAAGGCGGCGTTCTTGTGGTTTGATGTGGTGTTGTACGGAATTGTAACAGTTTGTTTTGTAGATGACGTTCGGTTTTTCTTATCTTTCACATCGTCCTTTGCTTTGCATAGGATTGATTAAAATGGTTTTGTTGGTTTATGTGCTACGCTTATTCCTACTGTCATAGTTCTACCGGACAAATGATGTTCTATAGGAATTATGGACAAGGAAGGATGTATTAGGTAAGATGAGGGACTAATTGAATATAAAAGGGTATATGAATCATTGAACATCAATCCAATCAAAAGGTGAGATGACCAAATCTCAAGGACTTTAAACAATCTTGTCACAGTAGGAAAGATCAATTTCAAGATAAATGGAGAATGAAATCCGGTGGACCAGTACGTCCTAGATTCTACAGTAGGCCGAAAATACACAAACCAGACATCCAACTTCGTCCAAATGTAGCACTCCAAGGAGCCCCAACAAACAATTTGTCGAGAGAAATTTCACGAATATGGAAACATCTAGTGGATTGATCCAGTCACTATTAAATCTCCTATACAATTCCTGGACAGGATTAAGAACATTCAAATCAACAACGACGAGCTGATGATATTCTTTGATTCAACGGTCTTGTTCACATCAATTGAACCGATCTCAGCGAAGGAAACTTTATTCCTGTTCTTCAACAACGACAAAAATCTCCCAAAGTACACGATGCTTCAATGTTAAAGTTTACTAGGACTCATTGATTTATGTTCAACAACACACTTTCAATTCAACAAAAAAATCTACAAACAAACGAAAGAAACACCAATAGGATCAATAATATTAGGACTTATTGAATAAGCAGTGATGCAAAGACTGGAAGCCTCGGTCTTACCAGTGATCAAGCCAAAAATATGGATTCATTATGTGGACGACACATTGGCCACCATCAAGAAGGACGAGCTGGAAAACACTTTTAATCTGATCAACAGCATTTTCGATGACATAAGGTTCACGTTAGAACAGGCGTCAAGCAATAAACTATCATTCTTGGATGTATTAATCACCAGAACCGATACAGGAAAACTGGAGATTTAAATATATCGGAAGCCAACTTACATGTCGGATAAGACACCTGGAAGCGAAATAAATTCTAGATTTGTTCTTAATCGTTCTAAATAAAACTTCGTTTTACCACAGTCGCGGATTTCTAATTTTGTTTGATTCTGCGAACTTTAAGAAAGTTTCAAACTTTATGAATTGCGGTCTGATAACTAGGCATTGATATCTGTTCATATTTAGTTAATCTAGTTACTCCTAATTATCCTTAGCATCCCGGTGTAAAGTCCAATATGTTTTATCCGTTTTGAAAACTATGTTCTTATAAGCACAGATTACGTAAGAACAATAAGATGCATACACATCCAGCTGGGTCTCAAAATTTATAAAACGTGCATTCTGGTTTTCATAGGTGTTTATTAATGTGAATATAACTTACTTAGAGAAATAGTTCATAAAGACGTTTTGTTCAAGTTTAGTTTAATTTTGTTTCTGATTAGTTAATTCGTAAAAAACAAGAAGCAGAAATTGAACGTTTAGAAAAAGAAATAAGAGCTACCCGCAATTACCAATCAGAAAAACTTCAACAGTTTAAAGAGATATCTAAACAAAAACATTTGGAGTTGGAAAAAGAAGCTAAGATTATCTTGGATAACGTGACTGAAAAAAGTAAAAAGGTATATGTCTACCTGCTATTCATCTTCCGATAACTTTTTGATGAACTGACATAAACTAGTCGATGTATTTGCTGCCTTTTCTTAATTTTAGAGAACATTTCTAGATCTGGTGGCGTTTAGTGGAGCCATTCTAATCACTTGGTCGCAATATTTCTGATGTTTTCGAGAAGCATATAAAGGTTGATTTATTTTGATGGCGAGTAGTTGAGCTTATTCTTAGTCATTAGGATGACTGGAACATTTAGCGATCTTATCGCTAAATATAACAAGTATTTTAAAGAGTTCCAAGTTATAGTGTGCAGAGTGAGATCGCATCTGTTCATCCCTTCTTGGGTGACCAGTTACGCTTACTGATAGCGCTTCGAATATAAGATAATTTTAAGATACCTACATTTTTGTTCGCATTACAAAACATGTTTATAGTCTAATCGGTCTTTGTAACGGTTATTAGTGTCAGTCTCCCTCCAATTGTTAAGGTTTTTGATTAGTTCCCATCTCTAGAAGTTTTTGTTGCGCAACATGTGTTAGATAAGGCATTGTGTAGCAATTATATTCTGCCTTACATCTATGGTTTCTGATATACTTAGTCATCATTACCCAAGCAGAAAAACATGGTGAATTTTTAACTAAAATGGATGATTTTTGCTAAGTTTAATAAAACTGTCAACATTTCAGGTATCTATTCACTCCCACGTTTACAAGTGAATCTATAGGTTCCCCACAGACTTTACTAATAACCTTCATTTTCTAAAGAACATGGGACAATGCTTTCTTCAGAGTTCGGAAAAGAATGGACGGTAAAAATATGGGGGAATAGGTGGTATGCAGGATTTTAAAGTTTCTAAAACCCGTAATTTTATCATTTAATAAGCTAATATGCCATATTTTTTAAAACAAAGTAGTATTTACAAAGAATTTAACTTCAATATAACGTAATTTCTAGGAAAATCGAAACGTCTGTATATTATCTTGAATAATATTACGAGTTTTTCCCCAGTCAAACTACCCCTGGTGTCCTCTTTAAAATTTGTTTCCACTTCTTTCTACTTTGAATAATATCAACTGCCGTGTCTTCAATTTTTGAGCAGTTGCCTCCTGTTATGACAACGGATATCACTCACATATATGGAGCACATTTCAGTCGAAGTTGTTACACCATTTCAACAACGAGAGAAGCGATTAATAGTATAAGCTAGTAGGAGTGAAAAATCATTGTTTACGTCACCTTTTTCGTTGTCATTGTTAATTAGGCATTTGTACTTTGATAAGTCTTACTAACTTGGTTGAATGCGTTGTAAGAAAATAACGACTTTAATTTCTTTGATATATATTTCTGTATTTGACCAGTGGTTCTGTCTCAAATAATATTTAGTTGGGATTTAGCTATATGTTTTATCATAAGAATACCTGTTGAAACATCCAATTCTATTTTTAGACTTATCAACAAAGGAGTAGTTGCAGAATCTACCACAGACATAAGCTATTGTAAACGTCTTTTATCAAAAATATTTCCCCAAATGTTACGGAAGCATGACAGATATTGCAGATTGTTTAAGTGTGATTATGTCATGCACTTATTTGTCAGATACTTCTCTCTTCACTTAAAAGTACATTCTGAAATTATATACTACAGTTTTAATCATCATATACTGTTTGCCCAGCGAATGTCGATCATGTCTTTCGAAGTTCTCCATTTCTCTTCACAAGGCATTAAATAAACTCATTACTGTATTCCTGGTTCTTTTTTCAGTCGTAAGTCCTTAACCATCCACATTCAACCGAATAAAAATAATTATAAAATTCATGAATCTTTCAGTGAACCTACTGTCATGCCACCTCAATACAGATTGATTAATATGACAAGATCAAAAGAGCTTCATTAAGTGTGTCCACTTAGTAGACTATTGATTGATGCTAAATATTACTCATTCAAAGTATAAAACTCTGGTTGGTAACCTGACTTTACAACGGCATATGAAGTATAGTGTATGCACATTTCATTTTGATTTATTTTGAAAGTCAAATAAATCTTCATCACCATTCTGCAGTTTTCATCATGTATTGTTGGATTTGGGGTCTCAGTATAAGACATAACCCATTTAATCATGTCCGCTAACACAGAAGTGTCAGAGATGACAGTGGCGACGAGTTTGGGATACGACTTCGGCCAGGGAAACCTCGATGGGTCAGTTAAGCACCGGGAAGATATGATAGTAATAGACGTAACCACTGATCAATATCTATCGTTATCAAAGGACATCACATTTGGATTTCCACTCTATTGATCCTACTGATTATGGTTTCATGTTCTAACTTATGTTGGAGGATTCTAAAGCAATTTGCTCATGGATGATGAATTATTATTGGATCTGGAATTCAGTTAAGTTTTTCAAATTGAATTGCTTTCTAGTTATCCTGTTTGATCTCTTTTTATTACAACAGATTTCAAACAAACTGATCGTTGAACATGTTAATAAGATATGTAAAGAAAATGAAGAATTGTATAAGGATATCCTAAATAAATCAGAATTAATAAAAGCTATGGAAGCAGAAAAATCGAACTTGGAGAAACAAAATGAAGAGGTCAGACATAATCAGGTGTTTTCCAAGGTGAGGTTATGTTTTAGGTATATTTTACACAACTACTATTCAATAAGAAACGTAGTGCAAAATCTCTTGTGAGGATGAACTGATCTGACTAAGAACCCATAACAATTTGACATGTCTTTTCAGCATTTTGACTACTGTACAAATTCGACGAAACTAGGGGTATTGAAGATCAGCAGAATGGGAATGTAGTTATATACAGTAGAAAATTGAGGGTTCGCAGGTTTTAGTGAAAGTTGACAATGAGTAGATAGGATTAGGTCATAGAAATCTTTCTGATGTGTTTTTTTCGAATTCCCATGGATCAGCATTTACTAACCTAGCTAGACTATCATTGGTTCCATACGTAAGGCTGAATATCAGTATACTAATAAACTTCATGAATACATTCATCTACCGAGATTAGTACTTTTTGCTAACCTTTTTTCATTTGGGCTGATAGGTAGTCTAGATAGTTTGTCACTTGATCGAACTTAGTCACCTGAATATCTACTTTTACCTTCTTCCTGAAGGACCGAAAAAATAGACTGTTTAAACACTTCACACTATTTTTCTGTGAATCAAATCATTTGTGGTGACGTGATACAATAGAAAATGCAGCTATCTGTATAACTTGTCAGGGATTTTGACTTAGATTGTTCATAATCTCTCATTTTACTTTACTTTTAGGACCTGGAGTATGTTGAATATAAACGTTGCGAAGGCTTGTCACAACTGAAAAGTTTATCACCACAGAAATAAAGCAGCATTAAGTTGTCATTTATTTTTAAAAGCAAACAGACTTTTTAAAAAATGCTGTTTCCATAATTCTATTTTTGTGTAATTAGTTTTCTTTACGGATTTGAGTAGAGCCAGAGCAACATTAGACTCAGAATACTATGAATTCATTATACTTCGTGGTTTCTCATTAGCCGCTTATAACTGTTGATGTGTATTAAAGGGTAACATTAAGGTGTGATATAATATGTAGCAATCGATATTGATCACATGAGAAGTTAGAGTAACAAAGATTATCAATAATATATATATATAATTAAATGTAGTCCGGAGGCAGAATAGGATGGATCGTATAATAATTACAGTTGTAAAGATTCGAGTTTCATAGGTTTAGCGTTCGCGCGCAAGAACTAAGGTCCGGGGTTCGATTTCTACCTTGGGAGTCGTGGATGCGCACTCATGAGGAGATCTATACAAGGACAAAACGACCATCTAGTGCTTTCCGGTTTTCAGTAGTGGTCTAACTTGATGAGCTTTTCGAAGTTTAGAAGATCAAGCCGATGAAAAAACACCCATGAATGAAAGGATCATTTTGTCATACATAAATTAAAAATACGTTTGACGAAGGCTGAGTACATAACAAGATAACAATGTTTTCAGTTCAATATGCATACCAAGTAAAGTGATACTATTTTAGTAGTATAGAATCGTAACAGCTGGATCTTGAATCTTCATTTCACTTTAAGGTTACTTCCCTATATATTTCTAATTTTGGTCACCTATAACTTGGTCAAGCATCCGAATAGACAAAACGACTGGCATTAGGTAGCACCAAAAAATTAACTCAACAGTGACGTTGAATGATTGAATTTTGAAATGAGTAAATAATTAAAAAATGCAGGGCAAAATTACTTTGAAAAATTAGATTATTGTTTACCGGTGTTTTATAATATAGGAAAGATCCGTTTTGCATATCAGTTGTTGTGTTGTAATGACCACTTTGTACAATGTTGCGTACGTATGAATATCACACAGATAATCGAAATGGAAACAATACAGACCAACTAAGCAGATTTTTTTATTTTTTATTCCTAACATTTTACATATCAACAGATTTCAATTATTATCTCGACATTGATAGTGTAATAATACAATCGCTAAGGGAATCATAGATTGAATGTTGATCTACATCTGGAAAATAATACAGATTCGTTTGTGATATTGTGAAAACCACTCACTGGCTTAGATGTAACTTCTTCATTTAGTTTATTACTTCTGATATATAACTAATTAGATCTGGAATTTATGAACGTGATTATTGGTAAATAAAAAATACTAAGAAAAATTTAGGTCGTGTAATCTTCCAAATATAATGACCGGTTGTTATCTCTATTGATTTCCTGTTTAGATATCCGATATTTTCAAAATAAAATATTAACTAGTAAAATGAGCTTTATACAACACAAATACAAACTCTACATAACGTTTAAATATTATTTTATTGAAATCCAACCTAGAACTAAGTTGTAAATTGCATGGTTTGACAGACTGAATAACAACATTTATCTACTAGGAAACCGATGAACTGTAACCTAAGCCGTTTCAGACTATTTTGATTATTTAACTAACATAATGAGGAAACAAAATGAATTATTATCACTTAGTAACACCATTAAAATGTAAGAATAACTGAATAGTTGCTCTACACTAATTTGAGTCAGTTTATAAATACATATTGGCATCAATATACATAACTAAATATAGGATCTATCATCTACTGATGAACATTTAAAAGTAAAAGCTAAAACCAAAACAAATGTGGAGGTAAGAAATACTGTTTCTTCTGATAATTGGTCTCAAATTTATATTTTATCACAATTTGTTTTGATAAAATACTAAAATTATTGAAGTGATTTAATCCATTAGCTTCCTAAAACGATTGATTGACAAGTTTCAACGAGATAGACTTTCAATGAAAAGAAATCATATACTGGACGATTAAATTAGGGAGTTAAAGTGTTCATTTGTATACAAAATAAGTAATAAATATTACATGGTTTGTTAGATCATTGATGAAATAAAGGTTGAATACAATATAATAAGCCTATCAGTAACCATGTGCGTTCGTATATCATATCATTCATTTTACTGAATGTTTGGTGTAAATCGGTTTAAAGTTTTTATTTTGGAATTCTTATTGGTTTTTATTTTTCAGCGAGATGTTTATGTTACCTTCGCAAGATTCATCCATAAAAATCAGTCTATTCAAAACCTTACCAAAGAATTAAATGCACTAGTAGCTCACCAATCATAAGGTGGCGTGTTTGAACGTTTGTGCCACTTGTGTAGGCATTAAAATTAACCATCCTGTTATAGATTTGCTTGTACTGTTTGATTAGAATCAATTAGAAATATTTAATTTTATTCATATATGCTTTAAAAGTTAATACTATGGTAATTGCTGGAAAACCTTAACAGAAACATTACAGTTGTTGACATATTTCCCATGTAAACAGCAAAAATCAAGAATCAGATATATCGGTATCTATGTATTTTGTATATGCTTAACAGGGAAAGTAGTTGTAGCAGATGAACAAGTTGAAAATTTTCTTGATTAATAACGGTTTTCAGATATATTGGTTACTAAAAATATTTATAAAATATCTCTGAAAATCCTGTACTGTAACAAAAATTTACAGTATTGAATAAAGCTACTATTATTACCATTAGTTCGTTATTAGATAGTGTAGTTTTCAAAACTAACTGAAACATACTAAAAGGTAACAAACTTGTTTTTTTTTAAAAAAAAATACTCAGCACTAAAACAAAATGTAGTACACTGTCAAATTATTCAATTTAATGATCATACTGTGCCATTTTGATTGATAGAATTCAATTCATGTTAAGAAGCAGAAAAAGAAAGAAGATAAATCAGCTGACAACAAATAAATCTAAATGTCCCTAACAAACTTACATTTTCATGTTAGTTGGAATTAAGACAGACATTTTAAAAGTTTTATTTAAGAATAACAAAATATTATCTCTGGATCATTATTACAATTTTATTAGAAGTTTTACATGATGATAATGTATATAAATCCAGTAAATAAAATGAACTAAATACAGTCACAAAAACACATTTTCTGATAGTCACTAGGTAATTTCATGGTTTTATATAGAACAATATATACAATATATGTTTTACTGTTAACAGAAATTAATGTACAGTTATGAATATCATTGTAATCATGATTTATTAGTTCAGACTATACTGGGAATAAATTAATGTCATAGGTAATTTGTATACAATGAAGAAAAAAAAACGATAAATTTTCAAATGATATCCTTGTTTGCTTACCCTTGATAATTCGATTTTTCTCTTCCCTATCCCTGATTTTCACCTTTGTATAAAAAAAAGTAAAAAAGAATCTAACAAATGATGTACATTTAGGCTAAGAAAAGTATGAAATACTTAGACTAAAATAATCTATAAAATGTTTCTTGGTTTTCTTTAGTTTTTTCCACTGAGGTAAGTACGTGATGAAAAGTAATATTTTGATTTCAGAAGGTCTCTTAAGATATCAGATGAAGAAATATTTTCAGGTTTGAACTTTGAAATTTCCGTTTACTTCCAAAAGAAAACATTTTGTGGGAGACTGGTATAAATAAAAGAGCTACCAAAGGCCAGGAAACATTAGGCAGTCGACTGATCCTCCTTGATGACCTCTTAGAATTACAAGAGACCAAGGAGAATAAACGTAGTAAAATAACATCGATTATTCTTATTTCTTGTTTTCTCTTCATTTTTTTACAACCTAAACATAATAGTATAAATCGTATAAATGATTGTTTATTTATACATTAAGCAATAAGTAGATTCTAAAAGAAAATTTTAAAAAGGACATGGAGACAGATTAATAAAAAAATTCAGACTATAAATTACTTAAGAACAACTAAAAATAGGACTGGCTATAGGATTAAAATATATGAAGCTTGAATAAAACTCGAATTAGAAAGAAAGTGAAGTTTTGATGACAAACATGAATTGGTAGACAACCAAACGTTGGAAAACAAAGAAACTAGGGCAGTATAATAGTTATAACAGTATCTTTTAGAACGCGTAAATACGATTTATGTTTTTAAAGAGTAATTTCTACGGTAAAACATATCAAGTTAGAGGTTACCTGTTTGAAATAGTCATGAAATCACAACGTTATGTCCACTACCAAGTAAATGACGGGCGTTCAGACTACTAAAGGAGTTTCGATCACTTAATCTCATCCAAGGAAAGTCCTTGAATATTGGAACGCTAAATCTGTGTTTTTCTCCTCCAAAGCAAGCACTTCGACACGTGCATACAAATCGATTTAAATGATTAAAGATAACGTATGACTAGTATTTTTTTACGGTTGAATGTCGTAACGAACAACCTTTTTGTATATCGAGATGAGTTCTATAGCTGGATAAGTCCTTTTTAATAGATTTATTAGTTTAGAATCTGTCTGACAAGATATTTTGTCGCTATTGAATCTGAGTAATTTGAAAGCAATACTTTTTTCCCGTCGTAGTACACTCCACTAGCTTCGTTCTTGTCTTCTCACACTTGCTGATAAACTTTCGTGGATAACGTTTATTCATCAAACAACTATCAATACCATTTAACTCCTCTTCCATCTTGTCGTCTGAGCATGATTCTCGTACTCTATTGGATTACGTTATAAACAAAGCTCATTTGTAGCTTATCGGACAAAGTCTACTCAAATTCAAATGAAAAACAAAACTTGTCATGTTTATCCTCGATCGTATGGGATTGGAAAGATTAAGCAATATATGAAACATGTTTTTGATCATCAAATACACACACACTACTGACACAGCTTATTGATACTGGCTACTTACCCATCACCTAAATTAGACTGAACTCACAATTTTGCGACAAATGTAACTATCATTGCCGTTTGTCTAAACGCTATATTTAGTAAAGATCAAATTTCCACACTTTAACCAGATACTATTCAACGCGTTTAATAACGTCTAATTCCATTAAAGTTACTGAACAGAATCATTAATTTGGTTCATCATGAACTGCTATCAGTCGGACAATAATTGAAAACGAGGGGACGTAGGATTGATCTTCAGTTGTAATTCATAAACCTTCACCAAAGATTAATCACT